ACCTTTATGATGATCTACTTCCACTTAAAAAATAGTAAATGTATTTTCTCTGCTTTATGATTTTCTTATTAATATTTTCCCCCTCTAACTTACTTTATTGTAAGAATATAGTATATCATACGTATAACACACAAAACATGTGTTAACCAACTGTTTATGCTATTAGTAAGGCTTCCAGTCAACAGACGCTATTTGTAGGTAAGTTTTTGAGGAGTAAAAACTTATATGTGGATTTTTGACTGTGTGGGGGGTTCGCAACTCTAACTCAAGTATTGTTCAAGAGTCAACTGTACTAACAAAATAGAGGAAGAGAGGGCAACATTCAATATATTTGATGAAGCCAGATACCAAAATATGATAAAAATAATAAAAAAAAGAAAATCACAAGCTAATGATAATCATGGACATAGATGAAAAATCCTTAAATAACTAATAGAAAATTGAATACAGACATACATACAAAAAGTATATCTTCAATGGATGTTGAAATTAGATGAAAAAGAAAATATGCATATAGTCTCTAAGTATCTCCCCACAAAATATTAATTACATAGAAAAGATAAAAGTATCTTTGCAGTGGAGAAAACTGGCAGACACTACCTTACTCAAATGATCATATTTAATATCAGCAGAAATAAGACGTACTGGTATAATGTACCTCAGATATGATGCATTGAAAAGGGCACAGTATTATTGGTGTGTTATTTTTATCAAAGTAAATATCTAATCATAAGCAAATCATAATCTAATCATAAGCAAATATCAGACATATGCAAATTGAGTACCTTTTTATAAAATCGTTGTCTAGTATTTTTCAAATGTGCAATTTAATTAAATAGAAACACAGACTGACAGAACTCTTCCAGATTTGGAATTGGGGTGGGGGAAAAGGACACATGGCAAGTAAGTGTCACACAGGATCTTGAATTGGATCCTGGACTAGATACTAAGAACATTGGTAGGACAATTGGAAAAGTTTGAATATGGTCTTCAGATCAGTTAATAGTATTGTATCAACATTAACTTCCCAATTTAAATAATCATTCATATAACAGTGTTATAATGATGGTTATATTAAATGCTAACATTAGGAAAACTGGGTATAGAATGTACAGGAACTCTAATATTTTTGCAAATTTCCTATATGTCTAAAATTACTTCAAAATCACAAGTTAAAAGTTGGGAAAAAATAAACAAATTTTATGAAAGAAGATTTGTAACTGAATAACTTCATAAAAAAATTCTTTGCCTTATGAAGTGACCAAATTTCAAATTGAAGTCACAATAAATCCACTTTGCACCCACTTAAATGGATAAAATTTAAAAGAATGACAATTTCCAATGTTCGTAATAATGGACAGTAGCTGAAAATCTCAAGTATCACTGGTTAGGAAATGGAAAGTTTCCACCTCTTTAGAAGACTCTTCGAATTTTTCCCATAAAGGTAGGCAAAAATTTATCTTATGATCAAGCAATTACATTTTTAGGTAATTACATAAGAGATCTGCTATCATATTCAAATTTAGCTAAAAAGTGGAAACAACCCAGGTGTCCATCAACAAGAGAATGAATAAACAAATTATAGTATGCCCATTTAATGTGATATTACATTGTAATTAGGAAGAAAAAATTTTTAAAAACCTGTTGATATAGAGAATAGCAAGAATGAATCTCAATATCATTAAGATGAGTGGGAAAAGCCAGACACACGTATTGCAGGATTTCATTTACATAAATCTCAAGAATAGGCAAACTAATATATGATCATAGAAACCACAACATTATTTCCTATGAGAATTTGCTTGGTTGGAAAGAGGCAGTAGGGTAGGTTCTCAAATAATAAAAATATTCTCTCTTCTGATAAGGTAGTAGTTACTTTTAAGAAAATTCATTGAATTATACAATTAAGATTTTACACATTTACCTATGTAAATTTTACCTATGTAAAATATAAATTATTAAAAATAATAAGAAAGCTCCTCACATAGTGATATATAATAATCAGCTGGATATAGTAAAATATTTATATATTCATAAGTATGTAAAAGAAAGTTACAGAACAATATAAAAGTATGTGTGTGTCTATATGTATCTATACATACATTTTGGAATGTGGTGGGTAGGAGTGTGTGAGTGAAAGAGAGGAAAAGTAAAAATCTACTAACACTAGTTGTCTCCAGAATAGAGAAGCTAGGTGCTCAAGGAGGACAGAATTGAGAAGGCGAATTACCTACTACTGTTTTATAATATATACTATGATTTTAAAAATAAAATTTAAAAAATGCTTATGGGGAAAAAGAAATGTTATGCTTTCTCTAGCTTATTTGAAAATAATTTGAAAAATAAAGTAAATATGGCAAAATGCTGATAATCATGGATGCGTTCTGGTTCCTGGTATGTACAAGTTCACTGTTCTTTTTTCCTCTTATTCTGTAGTTTTACAACGTGTTTATAATAAAACATTCTACAAAATGTACAACAGAGCAAATCTTTCACTGCCAAAAACAAGTAAAAATAAATGGATTACACATGTTTAAGAATTTATTAGGAAAAGAAACAAAGAAATACAGAAAAATACATAAATAAATTAGAACATTAAAAAATTCATAAATTATACCAAAGATCTGATTGAGGGAGATGGGAGGGGAGGATTAGTGATGCTAAAAATCCACTAGTTAAAACTTATTCATTAAAAAAGACATGGCAGAAATAACCAAAACTGGAATGAAAATGGATACATAATTGAAACACAAGACATTTAATAGAATGATGAACACTTCGTGTAACTTCATACTAATATGTTTGAAAATATGCATGGATTGTGATTTACTAGGAGAAAACAAGTTAAATTTAAGACATAAAACATCAAACAAGTAATAACGGTAGAAAAAAGGGGAAAAAATTTCTAGATAGCCTGTCTTCAAATTCCAAATACCAAACACAAGGGAGAGTTCAGATGATTTCATTGATGTGTTTGTTCACTTAAACAATAACAATAATGCTAAAGCTTTATAACCCTTTCTAGAGCATGGAATAAAAAGGAAATCCTCAAAATTATTTTAACACACCAGAAAATCTGATATCAAAATATGACAAAAATAGCACAGTAAAGAAAATCACAGATCAATTCCAGTTAGTTGTATAGTGGCAAAAATTCCAAATCAAATTAAAATACCAATAATTCAGTAGTAAATTAAAAGTATAGGACTTTTTTAAAACCAAATGGGGTCTGTTCATTAAAGGAATAAGAGGAAATTTCAATAATAAAAAATTAATTATTTCACAGCGATAAAAGTTTAAGAAAAGAATAGTAAAATTATTTCTGCAAAAAGCATTTTATTACCTCTACCACCTGGTTTTGATTAAAATTCCTTAGAAAAACATAAAAGGTGGGAGACTTTCCTAACACAGCAGACAAAATATCTCAAACTTAATATTAGCATCTTACACATTGATGATTAAGACCACCCATATCAAAATAACTTACCTATTGGAAATAAGACCTGATACCACCCTCAGCAGAGTCTTGCACAGCAGCATATAACTGTAAATCAATCAACAAATTCAGTTTTCTCAGCTAGGCAAATAGCTTTTCCATCATTAATAGCATCTTTACATAGGCAAACAACTCACTTAGAGAATGGTTTATTATCAAGTCTCACATTAAGAACCTCATCTAGCTCTCCAACCAATCTTAAACTACTATGTAATGAATGTTGCCTGTTCCTAAACAATTCCTTGCTTAAACCACGGTATTCCAGGCCCCGAAGCCCTAATTCCTGCTATTGAAACACTACTGAACCCTGTCAAGGTGGTGTTTTCCCTTGCTGCAGCAAGTTTAATAAACATGGCATTGCTTGATCATAGCTCTTTCTGGTGGTCTTTTGGGGAAACAGACTAGCAACAATGTGCTGGTCAAACCAAAGAAGTATTCTATTAAAACCTGATTAAATGAAGGGTGGGTAATATTTCCACAATTGTTTAAGTGTTCTGAAAGTACCAGTCTGTGAACTTTATCAACATAGCTAAAATCAGGATCGAATGGAAGGGGGGAAATCAAAACTATCAATATTTGCAGAGGATTTAGTACATACTTATAAAAAAATCTGAAAAGTAGCAAGAAACAGTAAGGTGACCATTTACCCCCCCCAAAAAACACAAAACTTTTAGATATAAAAAATGAACAAGAAAATAAATTAAAAGAAAAACCTCTATCACCGAAGTGAAAATATTAACAGTAATTTAAATATTGAATTAAAAACACATACCTTGTCCTTGGATATGAAGATTTAATATTATTAAAAACCAACTCTCCGCTAAATTAATTTATTAAAGTTGATAAAGTTGATGAAATTGCAGTCTAAACTGTAATTTCTTCCAACAAGAAGACACACGAGACAGGAGGCAGAAGAAGAGACACACAGATCCACAGAACAAAAATGGAGCCAGTCACAGATGAGAATACAGCATATGTGCAAGATGGCATTACAGATAAATGGGCAACTATTGGCAAATAATCGCAAGTAATGGTAAATCACTTGGCAACTTTAAGGTTTCAAAACAAAAAATTTCTCATGACTTAAGAAATTGAATTAAAAAAACACAAAAGAATTAGAAGTTAACATAGGTGAAGGGTTTTATGGATTCACTATAAATATATTTCCAAAAATGACATGAGACTTAGAAGCCATAAAAGCAAACATGGTTGTACTTGGACATATAACAATCATACACATTCTTATAATAAAAACAAAGTTAAAAAGTATAAAAATATCTGTAATGCTTGACAATTCAAAGCTGATTTTCCCAAATAGTAAGTGAGCTCTTCAAAATCAGGAAGGGACTAAAACCTCTCCCCACCCACAAAATTAGAAAGAAAAAGGAAATTAAAAAATACAGATGGCTAACATGAAAAAATGATCCAACTCAAAAACAAAAGAAATACAATTTAAGACAATAGTTTGGGTGATCACATTGGCAAAAATTTTAAATATAAAAATATCCATTGTCTGTGAGGTTGTGAAAAAGTTGGCAACCTCATTCATTGCCATTTGAGGATAAAGTTGCTAACCACATTTTAAAGGAAATCTTGCAATTATTTTCAAAATTTGAAATATGAATATACCTAATCCCAATAATTGAACTTCTAAGTAATTTATTATTCTATAATAGACAAATGCAAAATTATTGATATAAAGGGAGGTTCATTGCACAGAAATTTGGTGCTAACATAAATATCTATGAACGAGAAATGCTTAAAACATTTAATTAAATTTTATCGACAAAACAGTCATGCCATTATTCAACAAAAGAAACAGATGTGTATATATTACTGAAAAAAGGCCATTGAAAAAACTATTAAATGAAAGAGGCAATTTGCAGAAGAATGCATTACAATATGGCCACACTTCCAGATTCCCCCCAAAATAGCTTGTGCATGTGTTTGTGTGCATCTATCCACTAAAAGAATGCACATAACTCCCTTAATAGAGGAAAACTATAGGGACAGAATTGGAACAGAGGAGGGCACTTAATTTATATATTAGTTATTTAAATATACTTTGAATTTTTGAAAAAAACATGCAGTGTTTCTTTATAATATATCCTATTTTTTTTAATTTACCACGTGGCAAATAAAAATTATTAAAGTATATTTATGGGAGCACTGAGCAATTCCACCATTTTGAGCATCTTGTGTAATATTATTTCCTCTACTGAGGCTCCTGGGATTGAGTCAAGTGGCAGCAAGGGAAACAGTCACCATGCCCAAATTAAAGTCTCATCGATGATATCCCAACATGAGCATTTCTCAGTTAAGCATTTCTTATCTGCAGGAGGTATCCACCGCAACACAGGAAAGAGAAGAGTCTCCATGCACAAGGAAGACTGTGTCATTGTTTTGGTGAAGCTGGTGGTAGAAGTAATGGCACCAACTGTAACAAATCCACCTCATCGGTGTGGTCATCACCTATAGGATACAGTGAGAAAAATTGGCAAAGGTGAGAAATATTTCCAAAGAAGCCAGGAGACTATGAAGTTCTTATTTACTATTCCCCTACATGTACTGGAACTAATCTATCTGGAGTACACAGAGAAGGACACATTTCCAGCAGCTGAGTCCATGCTATTTCCAGAAAAATGACTTTACAACTTCCTAACATGAAGGGCACCAGATATTGGTGTGGCTTTTTCTCCTTTTGCTAGGCTAGAAAGTGATGGACATCTCCAATAATCTCAGATTTTGTCTGTCTCTTCCCTTCTGTATCTGGGTTTTAAATCTCTATATCACTTATTCATTTGATCAATTATTTCAAATATAACAATTTGTCAGCCTTCCAGTCCAACAGTTATTGAGAATCTACTTAATAAATTTCATGCACACAATTCTCTAGCAACACAATGGATCCAGCCATAAAGGAGCTCTGTCTATCAGATGATAGAAGAAAAGGAAATCCTTCAAATTAAGAGTAAATGTACAGAGATGTAGAAAAGCCATGAAGGTATACAAGAAAAGCTGTATCTCCTAATTCCTTATGCAATCTGGCCCTTGGAGTCAATTAGAATGTAACCGAAAGTCATCAATCTTCAGAAAATTAACTTTTTATTTTCTACCCCGACATGGCTTCTCCTAGAAAGCAAGGACTATTTAACTAAAACCTTACCTTCAGTGGGTGGCTCTTGGATAATAGGTAGGTGAAGAGGCTCTTTCTCTAAGGGATCTCGTTTCAGGGATTTACAGGTATCATTCACTCCCAGGTAGTTCCCAGGAAGTTATCTTCTGAGGTGAAAAAAAAAAAGAAATGAGAAACACCTCTTCCAATGAAACAGGCAATGCAGCTAGAACCTGGGAATTCACTCTTTGCTATTCTTTCATATTGATTTAAGTTGGTGATTTACTCACCCAGCTCTCAAACCATAACTATCTGTTCCATAGCTATGCATTTCAATATCTCCATATCAGCAGCCTTCTCTCTTGTGTACTTCCAATCCTGACTAAACTGTCTGAATCCCACTGAAAATTATGTCTCTTGCTCATTAAAAATTATTTATCTTCTGCTGCTTAGTTGGCCAGGTTATTAACAAAATCACTCAAAATAAACTACTCATATATCTTTTCTCAATAAAAGTTTACTAGGAACCTATTCTATGATAGGCAATCCACAAGGTGCTTGTGCCACAAAAAATGAACTAAAAAATATCTGACCATAGGAAATTAAAAGTCCATTGGATGAATCAATCATTAAAATAAAAAGCTGAGACATAATGGTCTGAGAGAAGCAGATTCAGTTTTGGGATGGGCTTGTGGAGGACAGATCTCCCATTTATGAAGACCTGCTATGACCACTCAGCTATTAACTCCCTATTACTATACTCACACTCATCTGATACTTGGGGTGAGTTTTTAATGCTGTTTAGCTGCAACCAAATGTCATCAAACTTAAGAAGAGCAAGATCTATCAACTCTTATCCATCCCAGGCCTAATTTCTTATAAATATGCAGTTCCTTGCCCATATACATTCATACCTGCAAGGGTGTCCAAGATACCATAGGTAGGAATGGAGAACCAATGATTGGGAAGTAAGTTTTCAGCTCATTCTCTGGAGCTGATGTTAGAGTTAAGGCAAGGGCATGGTCAGTCTATCATTACCTGACAGAAAAAAAAAAAAGAGGAAACATAATATTTTAAGAAAAAAATGCATGTACATATATAGATGCACCTAAATGTACATATAAACCATATGCACAAAGAGAGAATCTAGTTTAACAAATCATTTATGAAGCATGAGCATCCTGTGCTGTGTGCAGACTGAGAAAGATGGACATTACCAAGTCCTTCATATGTTAACGTACACAAACTTCAAACATGCACATCTCTCTGCCTCCCTCCTGTAAGGGACATAGAGGGTGGACATAGAGGGTGGCCAGCTAATAATTATATTAGCAAGATAAAATATTCCCATTCTATTTAAGACTGAATGTTACAAAAACAAAATTTTGTTATTATATATACAGAGCAATCAAAACATGGTCTCTTTATTACCACCCAGTGAAGTCCAGGAAAGCTCCTAAAAATTTCATTGGCAGAAGACGTTTCTAGCTTAAGAATTCTCATAAAGCCATCTTTACAAAAATATGCATTTCAATAATATCTAAATATCTAGAAAGGTTGGATTAAAATAAGTTACTCTTTTTAAAAATAATAGTAAAAAATTTGCCCCAAAGTGATAATCTAGTGAAAGGGACCATTTGATGTACAATACTTAGAAGTGTCCTAACCATTCTTCATCTAAAAGACATACATAAATAAATATTTTAATCTATGATTTTGAAGAAAGCATGTCATATAAAATCATTTCTCAACAATCTCAAAATAACTAGAAAGTATAGATGTGACAAAATGAGGAACATATTTGATTACTGCATTTGGAGTACTCTCAAAAATTCATGGAATAATGGCTTACATGTGATTTAGTGATCTCAATCTTGTTGACTACTCAATGAACAAATGTAAAACTGTATATATTTCAAACAGACATACCAATATTCTCTGAAGTCATCTTGAAAAGAACACTCTGTCACAAATTTTATCAAATTTACAGCTTTTCTTCAATTGGTCTGTCAACCATTAAAATATCTTGAAATATTAGATTTATGTAAATGTATAAAATTGTAATTTTTATATACAAAGAAAAGTTAAGCCAAAAACATACAACAATAGTTAAAACATGCATTTGCCTTTTGAATATAAACATACTGGTACAAGATCATTGTTGTCTTTAATTCATTTTCTTGTTTCCTAACAAGTCAATAAACAAATTTAGAAATATTTATCACAATGCAATAGGTTACAATTCTATTTAAACATACTTTCCCCAAAACAATCTTAGCTAAGATTTTAAAAACAGGTGTTTTTTAAATGTGATTTTTATTACATCTATATCTTTAATCATACACTAGCAGACATGTAGTAGCTCTAGATCATCTGTGTCCAACAGAACTTTCTATGGCAATGGAAATGGTTTATAATCCCACACCGTCCAATATAGAAGGCTCTGGACACATGTGGGTATTGAACATGTAAAATGTGGCTAGTGTGGCTTAGGGACTAAACACTTAATGTTTAATTTTAATTAATTTATATTTAAGCTTAAATAGCCACTTATGTCTGGTGTCTATCATACTGGACAATGCAGCTCTAGATGTTACAAAATAAAACTGTTAAAAGCGTTTGTAATACACACACACATGCACACACACACACAGTAGAGTTATAAATATTTGGAAAAAAATTGGTCAGTCTTTCAAAAGTTATAAAAATATCCCAATAAGGAATAATTGTTTTTCCTATGTTTCAAAAAAAGAATATCAAATGAAGTCAAATTTATAAAAAAGGTTTTGCTTATAATTGTTAGAAGTCAGAAATTTGAAATTCACCATAACTCCCTGTAGGTGGATATTTTGTCCATTTTTTTGGTAGTTGTTGTGGAAACCTCTAGATGAACTGTAGAAATCTTAATGTATCTTTTCTGCCTATTATCTCAGTTTTCCTAGACTGTTCAAGGATAATCCATGAGTCTGCAAGTAATGAAGGTGAGAAATAGCTTTCAAGACACTAGATATTTTTGTCTCTCAATGAACCTGTGATACAGATAGTATTTTGGGGATGAACCTGGCACTGAGTTATGTTATGTTGTTGCTACTGCAGCCTAGCCCAAAAAGGATTATAAAGTGGGAGATCTAGGAAACGGCCCTAATGGCCTTTGTCAAAGGCCATTAGTTTGTGTTTACATTTCTGTTTAAGGTAGAGGTGGTTCTCAGATGGTGTCAGGGTGTTCTAGAGGGTGACACATCATGCCAAGATATGGATGTGGGACTCCTGAGGAAGAAGTTAAGAACTAACAGTATAGCAATAAAGGAGTATCATTCAAGCAATAAGATAACTGTTACACTTTCCTGTTTTTCAGATTACTCCCAAAAAGAGAAAAAAGTTTACAAGCTCACCATAAATCATCCTTTGATTGCGTTGTAATGCACAATGGTTCCTGCTGAACAATGCTTTGGAAATCCTTAGGGTGAAGATAATGGCAAATCATTGTTCATACATAATTGTCTGATCTCAGATATAGTAAATTTAGTCTTAAAAATTCCTGTGAATAAGTATATAAATGTGGACCTTGGACAGTTGAGTTTTCTGAAAAGTTCCAATAGAAGATAAACAGCCATTTCAAGGGAACCACACAGACACATTTCTTTAGAAAAATGTTAAGAGATAGAAGATAATATATTGTGGAAGAGAAAGATATTAAGTGTCCCTAAATGGAAAAGAAATACCATCTTCTAAAATTACTGTCTCTGCAAAACTTACGACTGCTGAGGGAATCTTGGCAAATGGTACCAACTGCTGTGTCTTACACGTGATCCTTATACAGTTAGATGGCAGAAACATTAATTTCTCTCTATATATAAAGCAATGTTTTTTAACCTTTTATTTTCATTATCATCAGCCTGGATACCTTTTTTACACCTTTTTCACACCTTTTTCCTTAGTTTTCACTTTCCTCCAAATTTTAATAACACAGCCATGCAGTGTATCTGTTTATGTAGTTTGGCTGTTTGGAGGCCTATAAGCAAGTGAAATACCTAAGATTCATTTTGCTTCCCACGAACCAATTTTCATCACATGGGGATAATATTAATTATATTGAGGATATAGGGTGTACAGTAACTTAAGAAAAATAACTAAATGAGTAAACAGTGCAAACAGGGTGCTCCAACCTGTCTTGGGCTGTGTTTGTGGCAAGTTACCATTCTCTCTGTTTTAATTTAGGATCTCTAAGACAGACAGCACCCTTTCCATATTTAGAATAGACACAAGATAAAAATAAAGATTGTATTACTTACAGGTCCTGGGGGGTACACACCATGTCTGAAGGCCACACACACAGAGGTCAGGGAGCATGTGGAAAGAAAGAGAGAGAGACAGAGAAAGAGAGAGAGAGAGAGGTATCCATGGGCCAATGCCTTTTTGGGTCCAGGGCATTATCCAAACAGATTTCCTATGGTGAATTTTAAGTGGTGGGTTTAAAGCTAGCAGGAATGAGTTCCCTGGGATGGTGATGTGACTGAGAGGTGGACACTGTGGCATATCTGCACAGTCTAATGCAGAGTGTGGGGTCAATGGGCCAGTGAAATAGTTGTATCTAGCTGCCCCATAGTGAGGTGGTCCCTATTCAGTCAAAGAGACCAGCCCTCATGCATCAAAGGCCCAAGTTCCATGGCTGCCCAGCACAGAATGTGCCTTATGGAGTATTACATAATCCTTACAAATAATGTCAATGCATTAGGGACATAATGCTTACTGAACTGACCTGGAATTCCCACTGGCCGTTAGGATGGGGTGGCAGAAATCATTTCTGATATTTTCCTTCATGTCATATCACAAGGGAAAGGAAATAAATTCTTTCATGTGAAGCCCAGTACTTTGTCCTTGTTGACCAGTGGGAATGGAGTAAACATGCAGAAAGATAAAAGGTATATAAGCACATGTGTCTACTGGTACACCAGGCAAAGACAGGAGGGTTTAATTATGTACATGAATACTAAATTATCAAATGTGTTGCTCTCCTAGGATGTTTCCACTGTTATTTGAAACAGTCAATGTGTTAGACTCTAGCCTCCATCGGACCCTCCATTGGACCAAATATTGTCCAAAATTTTCTGCCGGGCAAATTAAATGTGAAACAGACTATCTGAGTATGCTTAAAGCTGCAGGAAAATGTTTGCCTGGTAAACATTCCATTCACAACAATACATAGCCATTTCTGTAAATTTAACTTCAGAATTACTTTACCTTCAAAGATGACCCAATGGAGTAGGGCGAAAGGGATCACCAAAAGTCATGATAAAGGAAAGAAGAAAAAATCACCTAAAAATGACTCACATCACTCAACCTCCTTAAGCTGGGGAACCTGGCAATTTGCAGAGGCTGCAGAGGGTTACAGTACACTTGATGCCACTCAAAGTGGTCACAGCAAGATAGGCAGGACACACACAGGTACAATAAGTATGGACATATGACTGAGGGTTATGTGTCCTCATGACTGAGGTGTAGAGAGAAAGAGATGAAACTGTGACCTCTCACCATGACATGCCTCCCACCCTACTCTCAACCCACAGAGTGATATTCACCAGGCAACACTGCAGAGGACTCAGTGACAACTGGGCAAACACAACCCTTGGTGGAACTAAACTTTCCTTTCCACACCAGTGAAAAGAAAAACAGACTCTCTCTCACTGTTCACACCTAATTTCCATAAGAGGGGTCATCAGAAAGACAGAGAACTAAATAAAATTCTGGAAAAAAACAGAGAAGCATCGGATTACTGGATTACTGACCACATTGAGGGTTCACATAGCACCAATTAAATTCCTAACTACTTAAAACAATAATACAAATAACTGAAAAAAAAACTTAAAAATTAGATGTTACCTCAAGACTACAACAGGAAGTTCCTTCTCACATAAGGAAGCTGGAAAAAGTGACAAAATCAGCTCTTCATTAATGTAACAGATGGAAATCCATGAAATTCAAATATCACACTGA